GATTTCGATTCGGTTTGAGATTATTTTGGGGAATGCAGGATGTGTTTCAAGGATTTTTGAGATTATTATCCTCTGCTGCCGTCATGTGCGGCGTAGTTCTTGCGAGGCGTTTATTTTGAAGAATTTAATGATGATTTTCCTCAAGATTCTAGGGTTTATCCGTTCGTTTGGCGCTGATTTCTACTCAGATTTTCAAGAATTTGTGTTCTGAGATGGTTTCTTTGCTCCTCCAGCTCTGCGATTATCACACATTGTCGTCATTGGAACCAATTTCATCAGGTACTCCGTCGTCTATTTAATAAAATCGCCATTGTTACTGAATCCGCCATTGTTTTTCGCTTGCTAAGCTCTAGGGTTCTTCTTGATTCTGTAACGTTGAAGAATCTGATTTCTGTGTTTCTGTGAGATTCCATTGATTCTTCTCCTTATAAGTACTCTTTTTCAAGGATTCCAAAAGGGAAAAAGTAATATCTGGAAGAGAATAAGGATTTGCAACGGCTTAAATTTATCCCCTCCTTCAAAGCTGCTTTAGATTTTGACATTATTTTGAGCCATTTCCGTTTCCAAGTGATTTATTGCCCATTTGAAAATCTTTATTGCGTATTTATCTATCATTTGGGCGTTGCTCTCTTCATATCTAAGACCATTGCTGTGAGTTCTGAGATTTTGAAGCATCCATGGGGCTCCCTAGAACTCAGCTGATGCTGATTGTTCAAATGTTGTTCTTGTTTGTTGCTGATCCGGTTGTGGTTCGGTCGGTCGATATCGATTCTTCAGCGAGTTCTCTTGATGCTCTTCTGCAAGAGTATGCTTATAAGGGTTTGGTTAATCCGAAAACTGGTGTTCCTTATGATGCTGCTGCTCCGTCGAACATGTCTGGTATTAGCATTCGAGCTATGAGGTTGAGGAGTGGTAGTTTTAGACGGTACGGTGTTGATTCGTTCAAGGAGTTTGAGATCCCGATGGGGGTTATCGTGCAGCCATATGTCGAGAGGCTTGTTTTGGTGTATCAGAATTTAGGCAACTGGTCTGAGGAGTATTACCCTGCATTGCCTGGTTATACCTACTTAGCTCCAGTGTTGGGTCTTCTTGCTTACAATGCCTCTAATCTCTCTGCAACGAACCTTCCCGAGCTCAAAATGAGAGCTTCCGGGAACCCAATACACGTCAAGTTCGACAATATCAAGTCCCTCCCGGATGGGACCGTTGCAAAGTGTGTTCGGTTTAATCTTCAGGGAATGCCCAATTTTAGCAGTGTGGAGTCTGGAAACACATGTTCAACCATCCAACATGGTCATTTCTCCATCGTCGTCGAGTCCATTGCTCCTTCTCCTACACCAACGTCGCCCCCGGGGACTTTACCTCCACCTTCAAGGAAGAAAAACACCACCAAAGTGTGGATCACAGTAGGATCCGTGTTGGGTGGAGCATTGCTATTGGCGCTGCTCGCACTGCTCGTAGTTTCGATTCGCAAGCTAAAGAAAAGAAAGAAAATGGAAGAGATGGAGAGAGCAGCAGACGTGGGAGAACCTCTACAAATGGCAACGGTCGGCGAAACAAAAGCTCCGACGGCGACCGTGACACGAACGCAGCCGACTCTGGAGACAGAATACGTGCCTTGAGCTGGTTCCGTCGATCCAATCAGGTACTCGATAAAACACAATTCATCCTCTCTCATTTGATATGGCTTCTGTCCTTGGTTTTTTAATGTGTTGTTTTGAGATGGTATTCTTGTGAGTAGTAGAAGTTTTCTGTGATGATTCTTGTGTAAATGTGTATGATGAACGATTCATTGTTTTGCACCAAAAAAATTGTAGTGAGAAGAGAGTGTTTTTGTTGTTTTGTTTATGCAATTTCTCCCAAAGCTAATAATAATAAAGAGATTCTCGTGAAATGTTGTTTTGCTTTTGTTTCTGTTTTGTTTTGTTGAGCTGTGTGTGGGAAATTAACTTTAAAGGAAAGTGAGTATCACTACACTCACGGGAAGCCATTCTTTGTTCTTTTCTGCTTCTATTTTGATATCGAAAGCTTCTTCGGCCGACCGACGACGTTCTGCTATAGATGACTGTTAGGTTAGTAGGGTGCCCCAGCTTGGGGGCTCGAAGGACTTAGTGCCATGCCAAGGGGTATCAGAACTAAAGGTTTGGCCAAGCCATGGCTAGTGGAAAAAAAAAATGTAGGCTAGTGTTGTCAAAGAGGCTGGGAGCAGACTCATAATCGTGTGGATTCCTTGTTACACAATTGAAGGGATAGATTTCGAGCGAGCGGGTTAATTCTCTGGAGAAAGATGCGTTGGTTAGGTGGACCAAAAGATGTAAAGACTTGGGTAGTTGCTATTTCTTTTTCAATGGCTCCCTTAATTATGTGCGAGAAATTTCCCTCGTCGAGTAATGGGAAGCAGGCTAGCCCCCAAAAATGCCCGTTCCTTTGTCATTGGGGCCCAAAATCTTCCTAAATACACTTAGCATATTGTCACTGTAACAGTTGAAGCCTACTGTTAGCAGATATTATTCTTTTTGAGCTGTCTTTTGATGCAGCGTCTGCTAGGGAGAGGAAATGCTTCGTTGGAGAGGGGCTAATGTGAGATTTCACAGTTACGGCCACTTGCTCGTTAGTCATGTTGAACTCGAGTGAAAAAAAAAAAATACTAATTACATTGTATCGACATCGAGTTTTTTGAAATCTAGAATTTTTTTTTTTTTTTTCGTTCTCAAATTTTTGTAATTATTAAATACATTTAAAAAAAAAATCCATAAGGATTTGATTGAGAAGGAAGTGGTGGAGGCCACGGAGGAGAGAAATATAAAGAGTTTAATTAAACAGGCAAAAGCCAGAGCATTTATTTTAAAAATTGTGAGTGTTTTGTTTCAAAAAAAAAAAAAAATACTTTTCACTCTTAATAGTATTTTTAAAATATTTAAAATTTTTTATTAATATTCTTTTAACTATTTTTTTTTTTAATTGTCATATTTCAGAGGTTTTTGGCCGGTTTCATCTGTTTTTTATTCAAAGTGAGGCCGGTTCAGTAGCAGGAGAAAGAGAGGGTCAGGTTCAGGTAATATCGGGCAATTTCAATTCAATCTTTAGTTTAGGATAAATCAATGCAATTTAGGAGGCCTTATGCCCCGAATGCTCAGCTAAAATGTCAAACGAAAAGTAATAACTAATAGGAGCACTCATTCAACCTTGGATGGTGTATCAAAATCAAAGTACCAAAAAAAATTTAAAAATAGTATTAACACTTTTGACATTGGTAAAAAAATTAATTTTTTTTTTATGGGAAAAATTTATCTATAGACACCGTGTAATAATGAAATTTTTTAAAAATTAATTTAAAAGTATTCTACGTTTGAGAGTATAATGAAACTTTAAAAAATTCTAGGGTATTTTTAAAAAATTAGAGTGATTTTTAAACTTTTTTTTTTTTTTTTTTGTAAGTGCAATAGAATTTTTGAAATATTGTGAGACGTTTTTAAAAGTTTAAAATATTATTGAAACTTTTGAAAGGTTAATAGTATTTTTTTAAAAATAAAATGTAAAGTCAAGGGTATTTTTATTAATTTAGCATATTTGTATGTAACCGATTAATAACTAATACATATTTAATTTGACTTTCAATTTAAACTAAATTGTGCTAATTCATTTATCAATTAAATATATTTACACAAATAAATATTTATTGTCAAATACAAATAGAAATCTTAGATTTCGGAACAATTTCAATTTGCTAATAGTGAGACAAGAATTATGCATAATAAAAGCAATACATTTAAAAGCTACCCACATGAAAAAAATAAATAAATAACTAAAATAAATTATAAATTATTTGAATATTTATTATTGGACTTAAAAAAGATATTCCAACCTCTAATCATGGCCAAATAAAGCAACCCATGACAGTTTTATGGGCATAATACACAGGCTGTATCACAACCTCAAAATGTGTAAACAAATACTCCAATTTTGCTTTTTGTTTTTGTCTATCAATAAGAAAACTAAAAGGGCATCTTTTTTTTTCGGTGGCTCGGAGTGATGACAAAACATGCTAAAAGTATTAATCTTGAGTATGGAACAATTATTACAATATCTTCCTTCAAAGAACGAAAACGTGGCAAATTCTAAACTAGAAAGCCTAGACGAAAATACACAAACCAAATGCATTTTGTAACCCAAATAATATCCCCAACTCGACTTGGTTACTTCAGAATATGCCAAGGAAGGAGTCCTGAGCTGGTTTTCCTGGATTTTCGCCTCGGAAAACTTTAGGAAACAAGTCTAAATGTTCGGAATTCAAGCCAGTTTTCCTACGTTCACTAAAGTGGTCAGATTGCTGTTCCCATGGGAATAGTGGTAGACGAGGATTATGGCCACATTTCTCACTACACCTACTACTGTAACAGCCAAAACTCATTGCTAGCAGATGTTGTCCTATTTTAGTTTTTTCTCTGAGTTTTTCCTCTCGGACTTCTCTTCAAGGTTTTTAAAACACGTCTGCTAAGAAGAGATTTCTACACCTTTATAACGAAACATCTCTAAAAGATATAGAACTCACACCTACCACCACATGCTCTAATATAATTCCAAACTAAATGGGGTGGGCGCTGCCAATATTTTCTAATGCCAATTCACCAACATTTCCACCACCACTATTTAATGCAAGGCCCACTTCTGAACAGAAACTCAAACTACACGAAGAAAATAATTATTTCAGAATCAATGTCTGTAGGTTTATGGTTGTCACCCTATATCTGTAAACAGCTACCTGGTGTTATTGAACATTATGGCACATGAAAGCAACCTGGTGTTATTGAACATTATGGCACAAAGCAACCTGGTTTGCTATGGGAAGGGTGGAGGGTAGCAGTACATATTTTCACGAATGCGAGCCTGGAAAGCAACCTGGTGTTATTGAACATTATGGCACATGATCCAGCCACATCCAACTATCATGTTTTCGACAACTCTGTTTCGTATGGGATAAGGGTGAAGAAAAACAAAAATTTACAAGAATTTCAAGCTATTCATCAATCATTTAATTAAGTACAGGGGTTCACCTGTTCGAGTAGGCAAGTGTAGCTTAAGAAAACAGAACTCAGAAATCAACATTCAGGAGAACATCTACTTTGATATAGAAAGTAATTCTGGATGATCAATTCTACATATGTTCAGATCAAGATTGGAACAATGAAGAAAACTGACAGTGTATGGCAGTGATCATCCATGCACAAACATCTGCGTTCTGCAACAAAAACTTTTATTCCTTCGTCAAGAGAACATCCGCCACAACTCCTGCATCTAGGACTGCATTAGCGTTAGTGCTAAATACAAGAGTCTCCTTAAGTATAGTGAGGAATTAAAAGAAAAAGAAAAGGTCCAAAAGGCTTTGGTTGCAAAGCTGAGAGTGGTTGAAATAAAATTGAAATCTTGCACGAAACCTTCAAGAGAATATGTGTACGTGAGCAAGGGATCTTACAAATGTTCAAATTTCAAAAGAGCGCATTTTGAGTTTCAAGGCTCTATGTAGCTAACAAAAGGGATTTGACTTGGTTTAGAACTTCCTCTTTTTACACAAGGCGTTGCTTGATGTGATATTTCAGAAAGAAATCCTTCCAGTGCAGCAGCACCACAAAATTCACACCAACAAAAAGAGGAAATAAAAGTCAAGTTTATGCCTAAAACTGTTCAGAAAGGACTAGATTAGGCTTTAGACATCAATGGAACTTGTCCCAAACTTTTAAGAACTTTATGACAAAATGGGCACTAGAGCTGCCACAAATCCAATTTTCTTGATAAACTCAGAGAGTTAAGCTGGCGCACAAACTCCGAGAGGTGTAAACAAGGGAATCAAGAAAACCAATCAAAACCAACATCGGCCGTCAGCTTGAACCACACACATCGGCTGGAGTGGCCAGAAAATGCCTCTCCAACCAATTGAAAAAACAAGTAAATAAATTTAAAACCTGCTCTGCACTTCTGCATCGTTTGGCTCTCTCTTACCTTCTGTTTTTTTTTTTTTTTTTTTTTTTTTTTTTTTTTTTTTTTTTTTTTTTTTTTTTTTTTTTTTTTTTTTTTTTTTTTTTT